TTTGCTGAAAGCGCTGAGTTGCTCTGAGTATGAGACTGTTGTAGGCCTGTGTGTGTGCAGACGTCAATCCTTTCGCTTCATAAAAAAAAAATTGCAAACCTTTTTCCATGGCCTAAAGTCATGGAAAAGTCTGAGATTTTCTAAGTTACAAATAGCAAATAAAGGTAATTTAAGTGACTTCCTTAAAATATTTTTTTGCCTGAAGAGAGATCAGAACTTTTGAATAATTATAGTTAACTCGGTTCCTGAACCCACACCTGGCACCATTACTTTATTTTATAGATAAGACATTGGCTATTTAAAGAAATCCTGACCCTAAACCAATAAATATTCAGGGGCAAAACTTTTGACTCCTAAAATCGAGGACTCTCTAAGAATGCTGTCTACTTGATTTTCTATTCCTCAATGAGAGCATGTATCCCCTTCTGCTCACTGTGTTTCCCCACAAAGGTCCTACTTCTTAGTTTGGGGTTGTGTGTGTAGTATCATAGGCAGTAACTCTTACCTAACTACAGACAAATTACCTCCTCACTTGTATTCTGACTAAAGTCACATAGAAAGCACCCTTAGTTTACAACACATCCCCTGCATGAGTTCTTGAGTATCAATATAGCTGTCTTCAAGGGGAAAGCCCCATTCAATGCTGATTATCCCTATTCAGTTCTAGGACTTTCCCATGTACCATGTAGATGTTACATAAATTTTCTGTGGATACTATGAAGGGTGAAAATTTAATCTTTATGATTCATGAAATTCTGTGAATGTTGCCTCAGTGTATATAAAATTCCAAGTGTATTGTTTGCATTATCTATGTTTATAAATTTATCTTCCAGGCTGTTCCTTACTCCAGAGAATTTAAGCAGAAATATGACTACTTTAGGAAGAAATTAAAGAAACCCGTGAGTAATCATATCTTGCAAAAAATGTGTTTTAGTCATTTGCAAGTTACGAAAGTTACTTCAGCGAGAACAACTTGTTTTGTTACTTTTATATGTATACTAAAAATATCACCTTCCTTTCTCCACTGCACTTTGATCCACCTGAATCTTCAATCTGAATTTTCTTTTTAACAGAAATGGTAAGTGAAGATTAACGCAGTATTACATATCAAATCACCTGAAGGGTAATTTCTTATGTAATACCAAAAAAAAGAAATGATTTTTATGAGATGTAAAATAATTCAGTACCCTAGTCAAAAAATCTGGGGACGCCCCTACAATTACATATGGTTATCATACTTCATAAAATCTAGACCCTAGTTAGAAAACTGTTAAAGTCATCCCGATAAATTCAAAAGTATGGTTCTTAACCATAATATTGATATTTGCTATGTAAAGTTTATAATATTTAAGTAAATAATTGGCGGTATTAGGTCCAAGTGTAATTTTCTGATTACAGTTCTCACTGGCAGTTTAAAACTGAGAAACCCTGTAAGATATTTATAGTCGACTGTTTTAAATCACAGTGTTCTATTTTCTGCCGACATGCCACCCCCAAATTATTCCACGGTGTGTCTTCTGCTTTACTTTCTGGCTCTACCTCCCTACCGTGGGTTTTAGCAGTTTGGTCCTATTTGCTGAACCACTGGGGTTGCACCACTGGGGAAAGGAGAGAGGCCACCGCCATTCAATCTGTCCCAGGGCCTGTGCGCTGGTGCTGGCACTCCCTGCTCCCTTCCCACAGTCCGTCCATCCTGTCCTGGGCATGTTGTCTGCATTGAGCACAGTCTCTGCTCTCACCTAGGGCTTCTGTTCTGTTCCCAAGTCCAAATTCAGTAGATTGTGAGTACTACTTTGGTAATGATCTGCTACCTTCAAAACTCAAATTTGATCGCGTAAGATCCTTGTGTTTCTTTGTAAGTCACATCCTCTGGTAATAGGCAGTGACTTTGTGGAGAGCACCCAGCCTTGCTCTTTGAAGAGCCCTGTCTTCTGCCTAGAAACTGTCTCTGCAGACCCTTCTTTACAGCAAGCAAGGTCCCCAGTCCTGGACCTCATCTGTCCTGGAGAGA